TGGGCGGCTCAACCGGGCAGCCGATGAGCTGTCCCGAGCTGCGCTTCCGGGAGAATGGCAACTCCATCCCCAGATGGTCCAGCTGATTTGGGGACGTTTCGGAGCCGCTCAGGTAGACCTGTTTGCCTCTCCAGAAACCTCTCACTGCCAGTTGTTCTTCACCCTGACCGAGGGAACACTCGGCACGGACGCACTGGCACACAGCTGGCCGCGGGGCCTTCGCAAGTATGCGTTTCCCTCAGTGAGCCTTCTGGCACAGTTGCTGTGCAAGATCGATAGAGCCGGTCCCTCCAGCCGATATGAAGACGGGGTTTTACAGCTCCTACTTCATTGTACCCAAGAAAGGTGGTGGGTTACGACCAATCTTGGACCTGCGTGTCTTGAACCGGGCCCTTCACTGGTTACCGTTCAAAGATGTTGACGCAGGAACGCATCTTCAGTGCATCCGTCCCCGAGATTAGTTTGCAGCGGTCGACCTGAAGGACGCGTACTTCATGTGTCAACCCTTCCGCACCACAGACCATTGCTGTGGTACGCATCCGCCCGTTCGCCAGATTTTATAGCCTTCGTGTGGAGCCGGTATCCTCCTGTGTTGTCATCTCAAACGGGTAGAAGCACTGAGGGGCCCCGGCTTCGGGTCGGCTTGCAAAACCACTCTAGAGAGTCCATATAGTAGACCCTATTGAGTTCCTCCGTCCCCTCGGCAGCCAGATGTGGCAGAGCGTCCAGCACCAGGCCTTCACTCGCTGAATCCTCAAGAACCGGTAGAAGGCTGGGTTCCATATGGTAGGATCCCAATTTTGTCGGTCATCCGACGTGACGTCGAGAGTGACCGACTGAAAGGGAACATCTCGGTTACGTATGGTAACCCTCGTTCCCTGAAGGAGGGAACGGAGACGTCACGTCCCGTCGCCACAGCTCCTGTACCACCGCTGAGCGGCCGGGTCACCGGTTCGGCTCCTCAGCGAAAACCTGAATATGCGCTGCATCTGCTGCCTACTTATACTCACGCTGTGATCAGCAGCAACTGGATGCAATAATCGCATGCCAATGTGCATTGGCTCATTTAGTTTACACTCGAAGTAGATTGGTCCCTCTAAGCGAGATCCCAATTTCGTCTGTCATCTGACGTGACATCTCCGTTCCCTCCTTCAGGGAACGAGGGTTACCATACGTAACTGAGATGTTTTTCTTTACATTTATGTAATCTACGGTTAGCTGTGCATTGAATAATTTTAATGCATGACATGGAGGCAACAAACCACCCAAAGCGCAGCGGAGATCTAGCATTCTGCCAGCTTTGAATCAGACAGAGATGAAGTACTGCTGTAAGATCACATTTATTTGAATGCATGAATTATAGCATTGTTTTGAAATAATTAACGAGAGAGAGAGAGAGAGATGAAAGTTGTGTGTGTGAATTGCACTCTGCAAACAACGAAGCTGTGAGTTAAAAAAACAGTTTCAAACACAGTGATTTTACCCCCGAGATGCCAAGAAATATAATGTAGCAATTCAGTATCGAAGCCATTATATTAGTACAATTTACAAAGCAGTGTTGACATCATTTGAATACTATCTTATCTGAGAAAAAAGGAAGTTGAATTAACTTTACAGATAACGTTCCCTTTTAATTTTAAATTTGACTGAAATGTGTTGTTAAAGCTCTGGATAAAGCTCTTCCTCATACCCTTCCCTGTCCACTTCATCTTTCAAATTTTCCAGTAGGTCAGACTCCAGCGTTCCACTGCTGCACAGAAAGCTGGGGTCTGAGTTCTTGTGAAATTGTGGTGTGAACAAGAAAGAGCCTGAGATCACTTCAGTGCTGAAAAAGACCAAGAAAAGGACTGTGTTCTCTTTTGAGTCCACTATACTGTGAACACAATAAGGACTCAGTCAGTCCTGTGGCTTGTGTTTCTCTCCCCATGTGCCTTCCATTACCCAGTTTCTCCCATGTTAATTATGTTTGTTGATTCTAGGTTTGTCTTGTTTAGTTCCTGTACTTAAGCCCTGTGTTTCCTGAATCCTGCATTCAGTCTTACATGTCTACCCCCATGTGCTACGTGTGTGCTCCTTGTTCCTTGAGAAATAAAGTGTATTATGCCTCTGGATTCCCTATGTCTCCGCGCTCCTTCGTCTCCTACGTGTGTGCTCCTTATTCATTGAGAAATAAAGTGTATTATGCCTCTGGATTCCCTATGTCTCCGCGCTCCTTCGTCTCCTCGCTCCGAAACAGTAGGCACACCGTGACAGAATACTGGACTGAAAACAGTCAGGACTGTGCTAGAGGGAAGGTATCCTGCGGTGTCTGGAGAGTGTCCGGCCCGATTCAGAACCAGCCAGCCGGATGCTCCTCAGTCAAGCCCACCAGCCGCTCAGCAGACAAGCCTGCCGGCCACTCCTCACTCAAGCCCGCTGACCATTCCGAAGTCAGGCCCTCTGGAGGTTCCATTGTCAAGCCCGCTGACCATTCCGAAGTCAGGCCCTCTGGCGGTTCCATTGTCAAGCCCACCGGCAGATTCCCTCCCAAGCCCTTAGCTAAAAGCTGTCTCTCTCACCTCTGCTCTAAAAAAGGAGAATGCGGAGGAAGAGACTGTGGGCTCCACCCCCTGGGTCCGCTCCAGTGTCGGCTCCAGCCCCAGAGTCAAACCCAGAAAGAAATCCTGTTCCCAAGTCCAGACCAGAGAGGGCTCCTGTTCCCAAGTTCAGCCCAGAGAGGGCTCCTGCTCTTAAGTTAAGTCCAGAGAGGGCTCCTGTTCCCAAGTTAAGCCCTAAGAGGGCTCCGGTTCCCACGTCTAACCCAAGGAGGGCTCCAGTTCCCACGTTCAACCCAAAGAGGGCTCCAGTTCCCACGTCCAGCCCAAGGAGGGCTCCAGTTCCAACGTCCAGCCCAAGGAGGGCTCCAGTTCCCACGTCCAGCCCAAGGAGGGCTCCAGTCCCCAAGTCAAGCCCAGAGAGGGCCACTGTTCCCACGTCTGGCCCAGGGAGGGCCACAGTTCCGGAATCAAACCCAGTGAGGGCCGCTGTTCCCACATCCGGCCCACGGAGGGTCTCAAAAGCCAATATTCTCCCCAAGGATTTTTTTTTGGGGGGGGGGGTTATAGGGATCGGCCCGTAGGCCGCTGTTCCCACATCCGGCCCACGGAGGGTCTCAAAAGCCAATATTCTCCCCAAGGATTTTTTTTTGGGGGGGGGGGGTTATAGGGATCCGGCCGTAGAGGCCAGGCTGAGTGCCGAGGCCAGGCCCCCTGAACTGTCTGCTCTGACGAAAAAGAGTGTCTTAATGTCTTTTATGTCTTTTTATATCTGTTATGTCTTAAGTCAACGAACGTATTCACTTATTACAAAAAACTGATTTGGCTTTATTAAAATGTGCATAATCTACTCATTAAATAAATAAAGTCTAAATAAGTTGTTCAGATGACCAAAGCACATTTTCTTGCATATTTAACATTTTAATTGTTTGGTCAGACATTTAAACATTCATAAATCGGGCATTAAACATTGAGTTATGTTCTGTATGTTAAATATGAATATATAAACAAGGTTATTTGCACAGTACCTATAACTGCGCTTTGCATCTGCTTTCTGCTGATTGCTGATTGAGATTGACATGCTTAATGGCCGACTGACCCAGTACACTCTCATTCATTTCATTCACTAACGACATGTACCAGTTCATTCAACTCACGAACGACATGTATCAGTTCGGTCATTTCATTCTCGAACGAGAAGATCTCTCTCGTTCAGACTAAAAAGAAACTCATTCAGTGAAGGGCGTATTCGTTCACTACATTCAACAAATCACATGCTCCGTCACATCTCATACTCGAAGGCTATTGGCTCAAGGTTTAGTCATTTTTTGACAGGATGAAACAGTCCACAGAGATACCCGGTTCACTGATCTGCGCATGCGCTGCCAATAGCGCCGTGCTGCTGTGGAGGGAGGAATTTCAGTGAACGAGAAATATGAGTCAATGGATTACATGAACGAGAACGATTCGTTCACCAAAAAGATTCGTTCAAAAAGAACGATTCGTTCACGAACGTAACATCACTATAAGTGACCCAAACTCACAGCACTGGTAGAGATGAGTTCATGTATACTGTGTTACACTTCACTCGTATATTGTATATGTATATAATCATACATTTTTATAATTACATCATAACCTTCGCAATCTGATGATCACACTAACCAATATCATATTCTCATAACCATGCATTGTTAGAATTTATAAATAAGTTACAGGGTGAAAACACCCTTTTCATATACTTGCCAGAGCCGTGTTAATTTTGGACCCATTTGGAATAGATTAAACCAAAGATACATACATACACCTGAATATAAGTGTTTTATGGCTTTAACTAATACAAATAACGAGTGGTAACTCATCTAATCTAACAAGGGAATGTACACACCACATGCATATACCAGATACAATTATAACTGATTAATTATAGTCTAAAATAAAGAAATGTCTTTATGTGTGTGTGTGTGTTAGTTTGGGTGTGTGTGTGTGTGTGTTCGTTTGGCCATCTACAGCTTTTTGTGGAATGTGTTTGAAATCAGATTGCAGGATGCTCGTGGGGCTGGTTCTAATCTTACTTGACGGCGAAGAACCATTTGGCAATTTACACCCTTATACGAACGTAAAGTTCCTGACCAGAACTGTAATTTATATGCAAATGTCAAAAGGCTAAAAGGGGTCTTTTAAGCCATAAACAGTCCAACTATCATGCATGATCCTACGCAGACGCTACATTGTTTACGGCCATTTCAATCTTAGTGCAATCCACATCTATAGACATCTGTACAAATATGGAAAAATGCCTGCAAATGTTGTTTTTGTCCCTAGTTCTGGAATTCCATTGAGAGCAGAAGCAACATGTTTTTTTGACAAAATTCAACTGCCATTTATTGTGGTAGCATTTTGTTAATTATTTTATGGAAAACCATTACCTCAGTATCTCCAGCTGACAGTTTGGGCTCTTCAGACCTTCAGAAAGCAGCTTCACTCCAGAATCCTGCAGGTTATTGTTACTCAGGTCCAGCTCTCTCAGAACAGAGTTTGAGGATTGTAAAAGTGATGACAAACTCTCACAAGACTGAGCAGTGAGATTACAGATGGAAAATCTGAACAAGAAAAACAGTAACTGCATACAGAATAAATCTTAACAGTGTGTTTTTTTAAAAATTAACTTGCAAAAGAATTAAGTATTTGAAACCCAAACCTCAGTATCTCCAGCTGACTGTTTGGACTCTTCAGACCTTCAGAAAGAAGCTTCACTCCAGAATCCTGCAGGTGATTGTTACTCAGGTCCAGCTCTCTCAGGACAGAGTTTGATGATTGTAGAGCTGATGACAAACTCCCACAAGACTGAGCAGTGAGATTACAGAGGGAAAATCTGAACAAGAAGAACACAGTAATTACATAGAGAATGAATCTTAACAGTGTGTTTTTTATTAACTTGCAAAAGAATTAATCAAGTGTTTGAAACTCAAACCTCAGTATCTCCAGCTTAGAGTTTGGACTCTTCAGACCTTCGGAAAGCAGCTTCACTCCAGAATCCTTCAGGTCATTGTTACTCAGGTCCAGCTCTCTCAGGACAGAGTTTGAGGATTGTAGAGCTGATGACAAACTCTCACAAGACTGAGCAGTGAGATTACAGATGGAAAGTCTGAACAAGAAGAACACAGCAACTGCGTACAGAATAAATCTTAACAGTGTGGTTTTTTAAAAAATGAACTTGCAAAATAATTAATCAAGTATTTGAAACTCAAACCTCAGTATCTCCAGCTGACAGTTTGGGCTCTTCAGACCTTCAGAAAGCAGCTTCACTCCAGAATCCTGCAGGTTATTGTTACTCAGGTCCAGCTCTCTCAGAACAGAGTTTGAGGATTGTAAAAGTGATGACAAACTCTCACAAGACTGAGCAGTGATATTACATGTGAAAAATCTGAACAAGAAGAACACAGTAACTGCATACAGAATAAATCTTAACAATGTGTTTTTTTAATAATTAACTTGCAAAATAATTAATCAAGTATTTGAAACTCAAACCTCAATATCTCCAGCTTAGAGTTTGGACTCTTCAGACCTTCAGAAAGCAGCTTCACTCCTGAATCCTGCAGGTCATTGTTACTCAGGTCCAGCACATTTAGATGGGAATTTGAGGATTGTAGAGCTGAAGACAAACTCTCACATGACTGAGCAGTGAGATTACATCCACATAGCCTGTATAAAGAACAAAACAAACAGCGATATTAATGTGAATTTATGAGTGTATATAGTTTATAATCCGCAGTGCATGTTTGTGATAAATACAGTGTAATTAGACTTTATTGACTTTATTGATTGAACTTTACTAGGTAACACTTTATCATAATTATACAATAACAAAGCACTAATAACTCATTTTAAAACTATTGTAGTTCAATAATAGTTTATAACCTGTAGTTAATACATTCATAGATTATATACAAATAGTAAGTTCATCATTCTGAAGGAGAGGATGAAGTGGATGCCGACCTGACCATATCTTTCCTTCTGATATTAATTATTTCATATTAATATATATTGTGTAATTATTAATCAAGTTATTGATCAGTATTTAGCCTCCCATATTGTCTGATGATTGACTTAAAATGTAGAGCCATCTATATTAGTATAGATTGAAGTATGCTTAATAAATATGCTTAAATGCTTAATCTTTCTCTCACAGAACAACCTCCTGGACAGCAACCAATCTGAGAATCTCAGAAGTGGTCATTCGACCGAGACTTCCTTGCTTTCAGTTGTTGAAGCCCTAAGACTGGCAAGAGCGGGTTCCAAATCTTCTATACTTATTTTGCTGGATCTGTCTACTGCTTTTGATACGGTGAACCACCAGATTCTCCTGTCAACCCTATTGGAAAATGGCATCTCAGGAACCGCACGCCAGTGGTTTGAGTCTTACCTCTCAGATAGGTCCTTCAAGGTATCTTGGAGAGGTGAGGTGTCCAGGTCACAACATCTAGCTACTGGGGTGCCTCAGGGCTCAGTACGTGGACCTCTTCTCTTCTCTGTCTACATGGCATCACTAGGTTCTGTCATTCAGAAATGGCGTATTATTGTGCCATCTCAAAGAGGCACAAAATCACTTTCACAGAAGTTTTCATTAACTGTTCCCTCCTGGTGGAATGACCTGCCCAACTCAATCCGAGCAGCTGAGTCCTTAGCCATCTTCAAGAAACTACTAAAAACACATCTGTTCCACCTTTATTTGATCCTCTAACTCTTAACACTTTCTATTCTATTTTAATTCTACTTTATATTTATCTTTTTTATTTAAAAAAACAACAACAAAAAACAAACAAACACGCTTTCTATTTTTTCTATTCTATCTACTTGTTTTTCTTTGTGTGTGTGTGTGTGTGTATGTGTTTGTGTGTAATATATATATATATATATATATATATATATACACACCTTGCTACGAGTACTGCGTTAGGCTAACCGAGACATTTGCACTTATATATTGTTGCTCTTTTGTTAGTTTTGACTGGTTTTTATTGTCCTCATTTGTAAGTCGCTTTGGATAAAAGCATCTGCTAAATGACTAAATAAAAAAATAAATAAGTATGCATATATCCTTTTTAGAAGTGATCAGAGTAACAGGTGTGAACACATGCTGAGTGTATTTCTTTCCTTAGGGTCACAAGGCCATGGTAAGGGGGTCAGGATGACCTACCATCTACGTGAGCTATGAGTGACGAAGAGAACTGTGACATTTAGATGTTGAATAACAGATATTAAAAATCCTGTTCTATCCTGTATTTCTGTTCTCCAAGATTGTTGGCTTCATAGTATGTGTGTAACCAACCATACTGATAAGATACTCGCTAGAAAACCTTGAGATCCAGATAAGGGCTCTGTGTGTATGTGTGTGTCGACATCTATTCTCTGTGTTAGATGAGAAGGCTGTCACCTGCCGCCATCCTGAACCAAGCTGAGGTGTCTTCTTCTTCATTTGCTGACGCCTGCAATAATAATTTGGAGATATGCTTGAAGTTTATCTAGGTTTTGGAACCAGAATTTTGCTGAATTTTGCATTGACGCAATTATCATCCTCTGTCAGGGTATAATTGTTGGTGATTTTGAGTTGAACGCAGAGCGGCCTACGAACTCCATCTTTTACTCCTGGTCTTCATTTCAACACCTGGTCCTTGGGGTTTAACTATAAATTCCCCTACAATTCATTATCACTGTAATTTACAAAGTGTTGCTGTTTTATTAGCTCATATGTAAAGAATTATATAATGCTTTATTAACAACATATTGACCATAAATAGTACTCACTTTAGACTATATCATGGAAAATCAGAAAATATCATTAAGTGCTTTAAACCAACATTTATTGGACATTAATTGCATTCATTTTCAGTTTTAATACTGTACAAACTGTATAATTTGTCGCCTAACTTTCTAATCCTAACCGATGTATTTTAATGTGATCTAATGAGTATTTGTATGTATTTCATATTGTCAGCATTATGTCATTTCATTTTTTATGTGGTTATGTTTAGGTTTGGGGATAGACTTCATGTATTTGTAAACATTTTAAGCAACATTAGTTACAATATAATAAGTACAGACTAATAAAGTACTTACAAATAATTAACAAACTGTTAATTTGGAGTAACCAGTATATAAACTGGTTACTCCACTGCCTCAGATCACTTCCTCCACACACTTAACATCAGCATGGTTCCTGACACAACACAAACCCCTCCACATGTCATCTTTCGACATAACCTACGCTCACTCTCACCCTCCCAGCTATCTGCTATGATTTAATCTTCGCTTCCTTCCCCTAAACTGTTAGCCTCTTTTGATGCTAACAGTGCTACAGATACTTTCTGCTCCACTCTTACATCTTGTTTAGACACTGTCTGCCCCTTGTCTTCCAGACCAGCCCGTACCACCCCTTCTGCCCCTTGGCTATCTGATGTTCTCCATGAATATCGTTCTAAGCTCAGGGCTGCTGAAAGGGTGTTGCGCAAATCCAAAAATCCTACTGACCTTAATGTGTATCAGTCACTCCTCTCTTCCTTCTCTGCTAATGTCTCCACTGCTAAAAGGACATACCACCATAACAAAATTAACAATTTGTCTAACTCTCACATGCTCTTTAAAACATTTTCCTCGCTCCTTTGTCCTCCTCCTCCCCCTCCTTCATCAACTCTAACAGCTGACGACTTTGCCACGTTTTTCATTAATAAAATTAATCAGTGCACAATTTTCCACACCACAATCTGTCAAGCACATCTTACCAGCAAACATACACTCGTTCACATCCTTCTCTTCACTCTCTGAGGCAGAAGTCTCCAAACTCATCCTTTCTAATCATTCTACTACTTGCCAGCTTGATCCTATTCCATCTCATCTCCTTCAAGCCATTTCCCTTCTACCTTTCATTGAAAAAACACTTGAACGAGCTGTGTTCAACCAACTTTCTTTCGGAACATGCTTCACAACTCCTTGTTCAAGCTCTTGTTCTGTCCAGGCTGGACTATTGCAATGCTCTCTTGGCAGGTCTTCCAGCCAGTTCTATCAAACCTTTACAATTAATCCAGAACGCGGCAGCAAGATTCATTTTTTATCAGCCAAAAAGAATGCACGTCACACCTCTGTTTATCAATTTGCACTGGCTACTAATAGCTGCTCGCATAAAATTCAAGGCATTGATGTTTGCCTACAAAACCACCACTGGCTCTGCACCCATTTACCTAAATTCATTACTTCAGAGTTATGTGCCCTCTAGAAGCTTGCGTTCTGCAAGTGAACGTCACTTGATTGTGCCATCCCAAACAAGCACAAAATCACTTTTACGGACTTTTAAATTAAATGTTCCCTCCTGGTGGAATGACCTGCCCAACTCAATCCGAGCAGCTGAGTCCTTAGCCATCTTCAAGAATCGGCTGAAAACACATCTCTTCTATCTTTATTTGACCCTCTAACTCTAGCACTCTCTATTCTAATATATAAATTCTTTAAAAAAATAAAAATTGTCCCTTGTAGACTACGTGTACTGCGTTAAGCTAACTGAGACCCATTGTCCTCATTTGTAAGTCGCTTTGGATAAAAGCGTCTGCTAAATGACTAAATGTAAATGTAATTTACAATTAATTAATATATAAATTGTAGTTTCTATGTTGTTATCACATAAACAAGTTATAAGCAGTATTATTACTGTAATTAATTGTAATTGAATTAAGTGTTAATTAAAGACTTGCATAACGTTTTTTCATCCTTTATTACCAACTTGTTAACTATACCTAAGTGATATATTTTACATTGGTATTAAATTAGTTGTTAACGGTTCATGAAAAAAAGAAGTTATTAATTAACAGTAAATAAATGCTTATGTATAAAGTGAATTGATGCACATTTAATACTTAATTAGTGTCTTTGTAAACATTTTGGAACACTTATTATTCATGGAATTAACGTATAATAAAGGTAGTATTAAAGCAATTAATTAATGACTATTAAGCATTTTGCATGACTTAATCTAAAATGAGTACTATTTAACCTTAATAAAACATTTATTAATGATCCATTACTTTAAAAGTTGGCCATTGCTTAACCTTCTTTTGTAAGGATAAAAGCAGACACAACACAGATCATACCGAAAACATAACTCATTTATTTTTATTAACATGGCTTGACATGACAAAGAAAAGATGGCCTGACAGATAGAAACATCACACCACCATTGGAGTACCACACACACACACACACACACACACACAGACACACACTTACTTATACAGTTTTGAAATGTCATGAACTATTCTACCAAAGGCCCCATCATGGTGTTTCCTAGCAAGCCATTCATACCACTCAATTACAGTGAGGTGATCAGATAGCAAGCTTTCAGTCCGGTTCCTCCTAAGCCTCCAGATCTGCTCCGTGTATGTTCTCCAGGCTCTTTCAATATGCTGGGTGTGTGCACCTGAATGTGGGTCTACTGTACATACCACCCTAGATCCGACAGTATGCAGTGGGCACACCACTCGTCACTGATGACAGAGGACCCAGATCTTACATGATGGGCGATCAAGGGGACCAAGATGTCTTTGAGACCTTTTTTCCACAAGCTCTAGATTAGGCTTCCCACTTCCATTTTCTTCATTCCTGACACTCAACATCCTAAATACCCACTTCTTTCTCTTGCATCCTCCAGTCATTCT